GGAAAAATAAAGAGAAAATGAGGAAGAGAGAGGTAGTGAGTTGGCAGTTGGGGTGGTCCGACGGGCGCGAATGGGTGGCTTCCGTGGTCCGACGAGGCGACGAAACACACACCAAAAAATCCAATCGTTCCACTAGAGGCTGCCGGAAAAAATGGAGAACGAAAGATGGAGCGAGATTCGACGAGTCAACATTTCTATTGAGAGAGAGAGGCCATACGTGTTTTTGTTTATGAATGTGATGCCAAATTTAAGGTTTTATCTATTTAGATATGAATAAATGGGCTGTAATTAGCTTTTGGGCTAAAAGAATCGGCTATAGCTTTTGAATTAAATGGAATGACCTATAATTTTGCTGGAATTATGAATATAAATATCTAAAAATAAAAATGGAACCTAAAAAAACAGTTTTTAATTCATTTTTTAATCAGTTTTTTATTAATTTTTTTTGTATTAATTTAATTTTGCAGGAAAAAATGACTAATATTTCGGAATTTTCTACCGATGAAGTATAATTTCTAAACTTATACTTATATGTGCATATTTATTTGATATATTTATCGTTTTTTAACATTAATTTGTTCTCTAAATTTTTAGGTTTTTAGATCTCTCGAAGATTTGAAAAATTGGGTACAAAATATTGCACGTTCTCAAGGTTTTGTTACAGTCACTAAATGATCGAAGGCAACAACTTTTGGATTCACCTTTAAAGTATTTATTTGTTGTGATCGTGGTGGTATATGCATAAGTAAATATGCGAAAACAAAAAAAAATTAATTGTCCATTTGAATTGATAGAAAATTATTTGAAAGAACGTGATGGTTGGAAGTTAAGGGTCGTACGTGATGAGCACAATCACGAACCATCAATGTATATGGAGGGTCATTCATTTGCAATGCGATTGTTGGATAAAGAGACTCGTTTGGTCCAAGATTTGACAGAGCTGAATGTTAAACCGCTAGATATCTTGTCAACAATAAAGTAGCAAAATGAGAAGAACGTGTCTTCACTGACAACTATATACAATTGTCGCCATAAGTTTAAGATATCTCAACGAGAAGGTAGAACTCCGATACAAAATCTCATTCACATGTTGCATACTAAAGGATATAATTATGAGTATCGTATAAACGAAAGTACTAACAAGTTAGAGGAGTTGTTTTTTATGCACCCAATATCGTTATAGATGTGGCAAGCATTTCCACATATGGTGTTGATGGATGCTACATACAAAACAAACAAGTATAATCTTCCTTTTCTGGAGATTGTTTGTGTCACTTCTACGAGATTGACATTTTCCATAGCCTTCGCATTTATGCATAGTGAAAAAACAAGCAACTACAGGTGGGCATTGACTTGTTTGAAATTGACGATTAACGACTCTTTTTGTCCTCGTGTCATCGTCACTGATAGAGATTTGGCATTGATGAAGGCATGCGAAGATGGTTTTCCACAAAGTAATCATTTACTTTGTAGGTGGCATATATTCAACGATATAACAAAGCATTGTAGGAAACGTATCAAATCATATAAGACTTGGGGTTCTCTTCATCCAATATGGAAGAAATTAGTCGAATCTCCGACACCGAGTGCATACATGCAAGCTTATGCAGACCTTCAATCATTATTGCCCAAAGATCCAGGTATCATTAATATATATCCTGAACTCTTAATTTCTATAATAATTATTATTCACTCAATCATACTAATTTGATTTTTCTTCACATTTTAGTTGTTTTTGGGTATCTTTACAATACTTGGTTGAAAAAGTATCCTAACAAATTTGTATCATTGTGGACCGACAAAAGTACCAATTTTGGAAATTCAACAACAAATAGAGTTGAGAGCCAGCACGTTAAGCTAAAAAAAAACACCTAGCATCTCTAAAACGTGATTTGGATAAATTCATATATGTTATTGAAACAGTTATACAATCACAAGACACAGCTATCAAAGAGAGTTTCACAAGGAGCATAATCATTCGTAAGCCAAAGTTTAAGGATGAGATATTCAATTCACTGTGACATAATGTTTCAGAGCATGCTTTGGATAAAATCTTAGAAGAGCTTCATCGGTTAAAAGGATTTGTACCAACTCCTGAGAATTGTGGTTGTCAACTACGAACATGTTGTGGTTTACCATGCGCTCACGAACTTGCGATATATGTCGATATAGGTATGTCAAATCTATTGTATTAAATTGACAAGTTTATATGTATAATCACTGTTTAATATTTTGACTTTTTTACTATAGGTTCACCTATTCCGTTGGATTCAATTGATGTTTTTTGGAGAACGCTTGATTTTAAGCCTTGTGTATCTGTGGATTATGGAAATCTTAATGTTGATGATCATATGCAAAGGTGGAAGGAAAAATTTAACAATCAACCAAATCATGTCAAATACAATTGTATAAGAAAGATGGAAGAGATAATCGATCCTTCAAAAATTATGATTAATGAACCTTCGGTTAAGAAAAATAACCGTGAACGCCCAAAAGTGAAGCATGGTCACCATCAAAGTCAAGCTCCTCATCGATACAGTTGTTCAGACTTGAATCAGGAACCACCTAGGCATAGTTCATCATTCTTCGACTTGAACGATGAACCGACTAGGAACAGTTCATCATTCTTCGACTTGAATGATGAACTGACTAGGCATAATTCAACATTCTTCGACTTGAACGATGAACTGAGTAGGCATAATTCATCATTCTTTGACTTGAATGATGAACCAGCTAGACATAGTTCATTCTTCATGGGCATGAACGAGGAACCAATAGGCCAATGTTCGTACCAGTTTGACTTGAATGAGGAACTAACAGGCCAATGGTCGTACCAGTTTGACTTGAAAGAGGAAGCACCGATGGAACATAGTTCATTTTTAAGGAAATTCCATCAATATTTCATTAGTTCATAACGCGTATACAAAATGTAATGGGTGATGGAAATTGTGGTTTTCGATCGGTAGTCGTTTGTCTCGGGTATGATGAAAATGAGTGGCTTTTCATTCGTCAGCAATTATATGGCGAGTTATTGACTTCATATGAAGACTATTCTAGAGTTTTCATTGGATGCGATGGAGTACTTGATTCATTGTCTTTCTTCATGTCAGATAGGACAGCACCACCAAAACACTATGTGCTTATGCCCGAGACAGGTATCCTGATAGCCAACAGGTTTGGTGTGATCGTCCAATTTTTGACCACAGTAGGCCCTGTAATCTTTATCCCTCTATGGAGAGGTCCTAGTAAGTTTCAAAATCATCGTGTCCTTACATTTGCACTTGTATACACCAATCACTATGTGATGGTACAGTTAGAAAGAGAGTACTCGATGCCTCCTATTTCAGTATTATGGATCCGCCACAAAGACTTGTCCGCAACCGAATGACAAACTATGTATACGTCGTGTCTAGAATCGTATAAGCGACTAAGACCTATGGAAATATCTTTTATGACTATAGATGATTAGTTGTTGTTTATTTTTGTCTCGGATTTTTGTTATGTAATATTTAAAATTAAAAAAAATGATGAAGATTTGTTTGGATTTTATTTTTCTTATAATATTATTTATAATATCAATGATATTAAGTTGATGAAAATTTATTTAGAATTTTATTTTTTTATAATATTATTTATGTTATTATATTATAAAAACTATATTATTGTTGTTTTTTTTATCTTAATAAAAGAATAAATATAAAATTATTAATATTAATTAAGTTAGTAAAAAATGTAATTATTAAATAATAATGATTTATTGATTAGGTAATAATGAACTAATAATAATAGTCGGTCAAATTAGGGATGTCAAAAATCCCTGCGGGACCCCGTTCCCGTGGGACCTCGGTACCGTACGGGACTAATTTTTAAAAAAATTCGGGAGCGGGAGCGGGGGCGGGGGCGATATTAACTCCCGTTTATTTTCGGGACCGGGGGCGGGAGTGAGTATTACCGTCCCGTACTCCCGCGGGGGCCCCGTTTATATTTAAATAAAAAATATATATATTTAATTTAAAATAGGAAATTAGGGCTTGAACTTTTCCGTGTTCTGTCGATTTACATTTACTCATTCTCAATTTCTCATAATCTCATTCTCGGCAATACGAATGAAGATTTGAAGACGACTAGTTCCGATTTCCGACTTCAGCTTCCTCCTTCGTCCTTCCTTCCCGATTCCCGATTCCGACTTCAACGCCCACCGGCGACAGGCTAGTAGGCGACCAGCGAGGCAGCGACCCCTTCTGCATTCCACGGTAGTGTTTGACAACTTCTCAAGTTTAACTCTGTAAAGATCAATTGACTATTTGTAATATAAATTACTCACGAATGAAGAATTGAAGACGATTAGGTTCCAACTTCTGACTTCAGTTTCCTCCTTCGTCCTTCCTTCCCGTTTCCCGATTCTGACTTCAACTCCCACCGACGACAGGCGAGTAGGCGACCAGCGAGGCAGCGACCCCTTCTGCATTCCACGGTAATGTTGCAACTTCTGATTTAACACATGTTTAGATAAAGATAATCAGCACAAATGACTCACAATATTAATGGCACTTCTATTATGGGTTATGCTTCAAGACCAAGTACAGATGAAATTCAACAATATAAGTTAATGTGCTTTGTATGCCCGGTACAAACTAAATGATAAAAATGCATAAATCTTGTTGGTAATAACTAGTAAATATTGAAACAGAGAACTAAATCGCATATCAAACGAGGCATAGTACCTGTAACCTGTTACTGGTGGCTGCCTGCCTGCCAATTACTCCACCTGATTAAAAAAATCAATTAGTATTTGATCATTATTACCGCTTACATATTGTATTCAGAACTCCGATTGTTTATGTGAATGACTTTCAGATTTCTCACCCATTGTTTGTGTCAAATTAATAAATGCTGTCAAATTACTAAATGTCTCCATACATGTATTTTTAGCTAGATAAGTCATATACATGATTTCTCACCGATTGTTTGTGTGAATCATTTTCAGATTTTTTGTAATCATGTCTTCAGCAGAACCGAATCAACCCAATGATTCAAACACGGTTAATGATACTGCCAATTCTGCAGTTAACTGTAACGAGAAACAAATTAAATTCACATCTCCAATGTGGCGTCATTTCACCTATGAAGAAGTTAATGGAACCAAAAAGGCTGTTTGTAAGTATTGTAGAAAGGAAATTACTTATACAACCAAAAATGGAACCAAAGGGATGCATTCTCACCATAAGTCATGCAAAATACGAATTGGGCAAAAGAAAATTGATGATTTTCAGAGTCAGTTAACCGGAAAAAGATCTAAGACGGATGAAAGTGGGGGATCAATTTTAGCAACACATCGGTTTAATTATGACGATTCGCGAACCGATCTTGCTAAAATGATCACAAAACATGATTACCCACTTAGAATTGTTGAACACGAAGGCTTTAGAGATTTTTGTCATGGGCTCCAACCACTTTTTAGGCCTATTTGTAGAAACACAGCTAGATCTGATGTCATGAAGTTGTACGGTGAGGAAAAGGCAAGGATGATGCATTTTTTGGAGAGTATTCAAGGTAGGATTGCAATAACTACCGACATGTGGACTGCCAACTACCAAAAAAAAGGATACATGACAGTGACAGCCCATTTCATTGACGATTCTTGGCAATTACAAAGTCGCCTTTTGAGGTAATACTTAATTTATATTGATTTCTTTAATCTATCAGTATGCATTCTTTAATTAAATTGAATTTATTTTGTTAACTGGTAGGTTTATATATGTGCCATGTCCCCATACTGATGAGAAACTAACTAATGTGTTGATGAATAGTTTGTTGGACTGGAACATAGATAAAAAATTATCAACTTTAACTGTTGATAATTGTTCAACAAATAATTGCATGATAGATTTGATGGTAGACAAACTACCTTTTGATAGCTTAATTTTGGGTAGAAGCTTGTTTCATATGCGATGTGCTGCGCATATTTTGAATTTAATTGTGAGGAGTGGGTTGGATGTTTTTGGCCATGGGATTGAGAAAGTGCGTAACAGCTGTAGTTTTTGGACAGCTACACCAAAAAGACATGATACATTTCAAAAAAAATGCAAAGTGTGAGAATGTTTCTTGTGAAAAAAACCTAGTTGTTGATTGTAAAACACGATGGAATTCTACGTATTTAATGCTTTCCACGGCTTTGAAATACATGAAGGTGTTTTATCGGTTACAACAACGTGAGCCCCAATATAAGAATGCACCTGATGAAAAAGAGTGGGCTTTGGCAAATGAGCTTTGTGATAGACTAAAAATCTTTTATAATGTCACATAATTATTTTCGGGAACAAAATATCCAACAACCAACATTTTTTCCCCAAAATATGTGAAATAAAGATTGCTCTAAAGAAATGGGATACATCTAGTTTCATTGAAATAAGCGAAATGTCCGAAAATATGATTACAAAGTTTGACGAGTATTGGAAAGAAAGTCACGGGGTGTTGGCTATGGCGACAATATTGGATCCAAGGTTTAAGATGAAGCTCCTAGAGTATTTTTTTCCTATTATCTATGGAGTAGATAATGCAAAAGATGAAATTCAGAAAGTGCGTCAAATTTGTGAAGATATATATTTGCGATATGAGTCACGTGTTATGAGTCAAGCAAGTAATGATGATATTACTAGTAAGCCCACTTCTAGTCGAGATGCAGCTCCCGCAAGTGACATGGACTCATTAGATGCTTTCTTTTCATGGAATTCTGCTACTAGTGAAGTTTTTGTGAAAAATGAATTAGAAAGGTACTTAGAGGAAGGCACTTTACCCCGGATTCATGAGTTTGATTTGTTAGGTTGGTGGAAGTTAAATGGGGTTAAGTATCCTATATTGTGTTTGATTGCAAAAGACATATTAGCTATTCCTATCTCCACTGTTGCTTCAGAGTCTTCTTTTTCTACAAGTGGTAGAATCGTTGGTCCACATAGGAGTAGACTTCTTCCGTCAACTATTGAAGCTATCATATGCACTCAAAATTGGCTATGGGCGGGTAAAAAAGGTATGTATGAATTTGCTTGAACCATTGTTTTTTAATTCATTTTAATATATTATGCTTATTACCTTTATTTATTTTTTCTTTGTTAGGTTGTGTTATTGATGGTGATGATGTACATTCCGATGAAGATGATGAGGGACTTGAGGTAAGATTGTTCAATTCGTCGTTTTCTATTGAATAAACTAATATAATAATTTATTTTATTATTATTTTTGTTATTTATTTAGGGAGGATATTCGAATGTCAGTGAATGAAGAGTTGAAGGAAATTAATGGATACTGAAGATGTAGTGAATTGGTGTTTTATTTTTGTAATTTTGGATTTGTCGTATTTTGCATTTGTAATGTTGGATTTGTCTTCGTAAGATTGTTGGATTTGTCTTTGTAAGATTGTAAGATTGTTGGAATTGTTGGATTTTTAATTTTTTTAGTTTCTAAAAGACTAGGTTTTAAGCTTTTAAATTTATTAAAAATAGTATTTTTGCCAAAAATAAAGCAGTTTTTTAGCAAAAAAAAATCCAATTTTAAGTCGGGGAACCGGGGGAACGGGGGCGGGACCGGGGGCGATGGAGGTAACCGGGGGCGGGACCGGGGGCTGTGTAAACGGGGGAACCGGGGGCGGGAGCGGGGGCGGGGGCAACAATTGATTTCGGGGGCGGGGGCGGGGGCACCTATTTCCGCTCCCGTTTGCCCCCGTTGACATCCCTAGGTCAAATAATAATTATATTGTGATGATGATTTAAAAAGTAAAGTCAATAATAATTATCCCTATTCTAATAAATGAATATTTTTAATCTCCTTTTTGCCAAGTGTCACTCTATTACAACTCCTTATTAATATTATGTCATGTGTCATGTAGATATATTAAACAATTCATTTCAAAATTCAAATTTATATTTTCTAATTATATGTTAAATTTGAAGTTATAATAGCTTTAAAATTTTGATATATCTCTTAATTAATAATTTATTTAAAATAACTGACTAATAATTATAAATTTTTATTATAAAATTTTAATTATAAAATTTTAATTAATTTTATAACCGTGGTTCTCACGGGTTATAAACTAGTATGGTAATAATTTACCATCATTCACCTAAAAAATAAACCTAATGATATAGATTAATGTTGTAGATTGATATGTTCAAAGTAGGACCCTAAAAAAAACTAGAGAAAATTACTTTTTTTTTTGTTTCGGGTTCCTTTCGTCTCCTTAAAAACAACTCAACTCAAGGGGCAACACAACGTTTACTTCCATTCCCTTTTGTTCCAACTTGAGAAAAGTGCATTAGCAATTTGACCGCTCGTTTCGTTATCTTGATGGATCAGGCATCAAAGAGTTGCTTCATGAGCCCACTAACTACACACTATATATGCCTTTCTTTTTCTATTTCTTCAGTTTATGCTTCAAATTGCTTGTTATTCACTGGAGCATTCAGTTGAGAAGGTAATTAGGATTTATCCCTTTTATTTTTATAATTATTGTGGTTTCAGATAAACAGTATTTGCGCATATAAAATTTGAAAAATGGTTGAAATGTTCATTTCCTATCGAAGAAATCAGAAAATGCTTATTTAACTTTTAAATAATTCGGGAGTTTATTGTTCATTATTATAGTAATGACTTTGTTCCTGTGTATAAGGGTCCACTTTGAATTGGAGAAAAGTTCAATATGATTGTCTCATTTACATGAGTTCTCGAGTTAATTAAATACTAGAGAGAAAAGAAATTTTTTTTTGAAAGAAATGAAGAGAAAGCATAGTTTCTCATCAATGGCATATTGTTATAACCTTTTAATACCAACTATTCCATAGTTATCTACATATAAATTGGAACGGACATATGAAATCACTTTGTTAATGTGACCTTACAAGATAGATTTACTATGACTGATTGTTGCAGGTAGCGGATTTCGAAATATAGAGATCTCAATAGCGCATGATGGTAGGGTTTCTTTTCTTTTATGTTATTGTTTTTTCTCATGTTGTTATTTTATTGGATAAAATGATACCCATTTTATTGTTTTATAAATATATTATGGATTTTGTATGTTTTGAAGGGAGAAACAACCATTTTTGAAGAATGCATAGCTCTTGGACCATGGGGTGGTGGTACACAACTAGTGGTGAAAGATTGGATTTTTATGCCAGACGGGTTTATTAAAAAGATTACAATTGGATATGGAAGGGTTATTGATTACATAACATTCCAAAGTGACACTCAAAGCTCCACTATCGGTACAGCTGGCAAGATTGGGTGCCAAAATTGTGACGTGGTAAATGATCAACACATGTTGTAGCATTTTGCATGCATACATACATATATATGAATCTTGATACTCGAGGAGGGAATTTCAAATTTGTGCCTCACTTTCTTAATTATGCAGATTTGCATTCAATACCCAAATGAATATTTAACTTCAATAAGTGGGGCGATTGGCATCCATGAAGGTTCTGAAGTAGTGATGTCGTTAGGCTTTCACAGAAATAGGAGACAGTATGGCCCATTTGGCTCTGCGGGTGTCACTGGTTTTTCATACGATGGTAAAGGGGGGATGATTGTTGGGTTTCATGGACGTTTTGGCAAATTCATTGATTCTATTGGGATATATGTGATGCCTAAATCACTGGCATTATATCGAAACTGTAAATCTGATGACAAATCCGGACATAAGGTTCATTTCATGGTCTAAAAAAAAACTTCTTTTCTAGATTATTTTTAGTTGTCCTAAAGTTAAAGTTTTCTTATATCTATTTCAGTTGTTGATAATGGGATTAATGCCGAGGGGCGTAGGACCTTGGGGGGCTTCTGGAGGTAAACGCTGGGATGATGGAGTTTTCAACCATGTGAAACGAGTATGTGTTCACTTGGGGAAGTCTTGTAATGTGATATATGGCGTTCAATTTGAATATGTTAAAAAAGATGGTAAATATTTTTCTTCACCTGTTCATGGTGGTGGAACAGATGCAGAGAAAACAGAACAGGTGTGTGGAAAAGTATACACTGTTTTTCTTTTTACATTTGTTTCAGGCTAATCATAGCATAACCATGATCTTGGCAGGTTGATTTGGATGGTGTGCAAGAGTTTTTGACTGGGATCTCGGGGTTTTATGGACCCGTTGAGGGATTTAGTGGATCGCAAGGTATAACATCAATTGCTTTTCACACAAACAAGAAGATGTATGGGCCTTACGGAAAAGAAAGGGGTGAAGCAGGGTATGCTTATTTCACATCTACTGCATCTCCTGGGAAAATTGTTGGTTTTCATGGTAGAAAATCTGACATTCTAATCGCAATTGGTGTTCATATGGAGTATTTCTGAAGATAATGATGATGGAAGAAGCGTAGACCTTTATCTAAAATGCATGAATGAATAGATGATAATTACATCAAACTTGGTAGTCTAAATTTCTTTTGGATATATGGTATGCCATATTGTTTTTTTTTTTCCGATTGGTACCTAAAGAATTTTCATTCAAACCTTTTGATCGTTTTGAAGCTTATTAATCACTAGTTGCCCTGTTCTAATATTGACCCTGTTGTTTTCTGGAGTGTACTAGAAGACCCTCTTACACTTTGCACAACTGTGAACCTTCATTATCAATTCCCCTTAAATCTACAGAACTATATATATTCCACATGAACTTTACAATTGCATGTCTACCACTTCATCCAGTTTCAAAACAGTCTTAAAATAAAAACATATATAAATGCGGTTCATCATTTTGCATGTAAACTAGAATACAATATAAACTTTTCAATAATCACAATCGCACGAGGACCATTTCATCTAAGTAATAATGATCTCTACTATGCATGTGATCTGGTAGTAAGCTAAAATGATCATATGTACTTACTACGTTTATAACATTTTGTTTGCTAAAGGGAATGAGATTTCAATCGATGATTTTGATTTACAGTCAACCATTGTTTAAATACAAGTATGAGAGTAGTTGAGAGTGAGATATACACTCCTGATTCTATGCGATAACTATTGACCTTTTGACTACATCAATACACACGTTTACAATAAGTAAAATACATATTATATACATAATTGCTATTACCCCCAGCAAGCTGAAGACTGGGACGCACTTGAAGCTTGGAACGAAGGAAATTGAGGCGATATTTTCCCAGTGGTTTAGTCAAGACATCTGCAAGTTGATCCACACTTGATACATGAGAAATTTTAAGTTTGCCAGATTCAACTTGTTCTCTTATAAAGTGGAAATCTAAAGCAATGTGCTTAGACCGTGTACTAATGACTGGATTCTTTGTCATGAAGATAGCTCCTACATTGTCACACAGCAACAAAGGAGGAGCTGAAATAGGAACTTGTAAGTCTTGGATTAGCTGTTTGAGCCATAGCAATTCTGCAGTTGTGTGAGCTAATGCACGATACTCGGCTTCTGTACTTGACCGAGCAACTACCCTTTGTTTCCTTGAAGTCCAACTGATTAGATTGGAGCCATGAAAAATGGCAAAGCCATATTGAGAACGACTGTCGTCGGGATCTGAGTTCCACCCTGAATCAGAAAAAGCATGTAGGCCTTTTGCATTAGTGGATTTGAAGTGAAGTGAGTAATTCCGAGTCCCATTTAAATACCGTAGTATGCGTTTAACGGCTTGCCAATGGCGATTGGTGGGGGAGTGCATGAATTGACAAACTCGGTTTACCGAGTATGCGATGTCAGGTCTAGTAATAGTTGCATACTGTAGAGACCCAACTATTTGACGATAAAGTTTAGGATCAGAAAATGGGTCTCCTTGTTTGAGCAGACGACTGTAAGGATCAGATGGATTTGACATTGGAGATGAAAGAGACATGTTGCTTTTGTTCAGTATATCGGTGATATAAGATTCTTGAGATAAAACGATACCAGATTTGGACTTCTGGACTTGTAAACCCAGAAAATAATGTAAATCACCCATGTCTTTTAGAGAGAATTGGTTGTTGAGACTGCAAATGAAATTAGATACTTTGACATCATCTGAACCTGTGACAATCAGATCATCAACATATATCAAGACATAAATAGTTGTGGTCTGTGAAACATGAACAAATAGAGAAGTGTCAGATTGACATGCTCGGAATCCATTTGAGACCAGATATGTCTTGAGTTTATTGAACCAAGCCCTAGGTGCTTGTTTAAGCCCATACAGTGCTTTGTGTAGCTTACAGACATGAGTAGGATGTGTTGCATCTTCAAAGCCCTTCGGTTGCTTCATGTAAACGGTTTCAATTAAGTCACCATTTAGAAAAGCGTTGTTAATATCTAATTGTCGAATTCTCCAATTGTTTGAAAACGCAATCGACAAAACCAAACGAATGGTGGTAGGCTTAATTACCGGACTGAATGTGTCAAAATAGTCAACCCCTGCCTCTTGACTGAAGCCTTGAGCCACCAATCGGGCTTTATATCGCTCAATTTTACCATCAGCCCCTTTCTTGATCTTGTAAATCCATTTGCAGCCAACAATGTTGGAGTTGGTGGGACAAGGGACGAGAGACCAGATGTTGTTTTTCACAAGAGCGGCATATTCTATCTTCATCGCATCACGCCAGCACTGATGTTTATTGGCTTGGGTGAAGTTGGTCGGCTCGAAAGTGAGAGATGAACTATCAGCAAGAAATACTTTTGGCTTAAGAGAGTTCATTTGAGCTCTAGTGACCATGGAGTGTTGATTATTTTCTGCTGGGCGAAAAATCGTTGCTGATTGTGGTGATGAGGCAGTAGAATTTTGAGCGAACAAAGGAGACACCTCAGGTGCTAGGGTAGATAAGATGGGCTCTTGTGAGGGTGGGCTGTTAGATGGAGTGGGGTCATCCATGTGATTGTGAGTAGTTGGGCTAGGTAGTGGGCCTTGAGAAATCGGACCAGGAGTTGGACTTTGAGGAACTGAACTGGGTGAGGGAGTGAAAGTGGCATTAATTGTTGGAGATAAATCATTATATGGTGAGGAAGGTGTAACACTTGGTGATATTGAGCTATCATATGGAAATTTTTCTTCATCAAAAACAACATGTCGTGAGACATATATTTTTGAGGTAGGTTGATGATAACAAATATACCCTTTGTGTGATGCACTATACCCCAAGAAAATACATGGTTTGGATCGAAAATCGATTTTGTGAGGATTGTAGGGTCGGAGATAGGGATAACAAAGACAACCAAAAAATTTTAGAAATGAATAATCGGGAATTTTGTTGTACAACTTTTGGTATGGAGACTCATAGTTTAGTACAGGGGTAATGGTGCGATTATTCAAGTATGTTGCAGTTTTGAAGGCGTGTTCCCAAATTTTTTTTGGTAACGAAGATTGTGCTAGTAACGTGAGACCCTTCTCGACAATAAATCGATTTCGCCTTTCGATTGCTCCATTTTGTTCCTGTGTATGTGGACAGGAAACCCGGTGATTGATGCCATGTGTTTTAAGAAATGAAGAGATGTTTCTATATTCGCCCCCCAATCGGTTTGCATACTTTTTATGTCACAGTCAAATTGTGTTTTTACCATGGTGAGAAAATTAAGAAAAACTTGATAAACTTGTGACTTGTGAGATAGAAAATAAACCCATATAAACTTGGAGCAATCATCCATAAACAGCACAAAATATCTATGCCCATTTAAAGAAAAAACGGGAGAAGGCCCCCAAACATCCGAATAAACCAATTCAAATGGTTTTGAAGAAATAACATGAGATGTAGGAAGATGCATCCTATGAATTTTTCCTAATTGACATGAGTCACAAATATTAGGAAATTTATTATTGGAAACAGGAAGTTTAAAACTTGAAACTAAACGCCTAAGGATTGATTCATACGGGTGAGCAAGCCGCATATGCCATCCATATAAAGAAACTCAACTGGAATTGAAGACTTTTGGAGATGAGCGAAGACTGGTAGGATGCAACCGATAGAGCCCCTCCTTTTTATCCCCTTGGATTAGAGTTTGACCCTGAAACATCTTAACAGAACAAGTTTTAGGCCAAAATTCAACAAAAACAGGATTATCATCAGCGAGTTTTGAGACACTAAGGAGGGATTTTGTGAGATCAGGAACATGAAGAACATTAGTTAATTTAAGATGGGGTAGAGAGGAAGATCCGATATAAGAGATAGTCAAGTTGTTACCATTGCCTACTTGGAGTTTGTCATCTCCAGTGTAGGAATCAGCAATGTTGAGTTTGTTGAGGTCTGGTGTGACATGATCGGCTGCTCCACTGTCTACATACCAAGCGGGATCAAATACTGTAGATTGACTTTGCTGAGTCAAGTGAGCTTGGCGAGGATTGCCTTTTGGATTTGGTTTCCTGGAGGGATAGTCGGTGAGATTGCCTCGCTGCCAACAGTCAATGGCTTCATGACCAGGCTTGCCACACAATTGACACATCACACGCTTCTTTCTAGGGTCTGAGTTTCGAGAAGCATAGGAAGAGTTGGAGACCTGTCCATTTTGAGCTTGAGTTTTGTGGGTAGATCGGTTGACATTTAGGGCAGCAACAGTGGGGGCGGAATTAACTGAAGCAAGACGCATGTGTTCTTGCTCAAGTCTCGCTTCTTCCTGTAATAGATACCCTACAAGATCATCAACCATTAGAACTTCTGATTTCATCATAAATGCTGTAATAAAACTCCCATAGGAAGAATCTAAGCCACTCAGAATGTATCCAATAAGATCTTCATCATCAACAGGATGAAGATTTTCAGCCAAAGCATCAGAGATGGAGCGTTTTCGCTCTATGTAGTCAAGCATGGTCATAGAACCTTTTGCAAGAGTTTGCAATTGAACTTTCAATTGCATTCGACATGCCCTAGTCTGGGCTTGAAACAATTTTTCAATTTTCTGCCAGGCATCACGAGATGAGGTAGAACGAGCAACAAGAGCAGACGCATGATCAGTAAGTGTGGATTTTAGCCAGAGTAAAACAAACTTATCATGTTTCTTCCAGGTGGTATACTCCGGATTTGGAATGGTAGTAGCAGGAACCGCAGCAACAGCAGGTGCGGTGGCAGTGGCTGGTATCGCTGCAACAGCAGGAACATCAACAGTCTCGGTCGGAGGTTTAGGGTTTAACACAAAATCCTCCAAATCAAAGGTCTCTAGTGCTGAGATTATATTGGTGCGCCATAAGGCAAAGTTTTTGTGATCCAATTTAGTAGTAATTGGGGGAATCTGAAAATTGAGAGTGGGGGCGGTGGTGGTAGCCAAATTGAGACGATTGGCAGTTCCGGTAGCCATGAAAGGAGAAGAAAAGAAGAAACTTTGTGCAGATTTAGCCTTAGCTCTGCTACCATAAAGGGAATGAGATTTCAATCGATGATTTTGATTTACAGTCAACCATTGTT